CAACTAGCAGACTATCATCTATCCACTATCAAATACTATCAACTATCAACTATTCCTGACTCATGATCCTGGCCCTAATAAAACGACTTGTATGCCCTGCCTAAGATAGAGTTTGGAATTTGGAAACTGGAGTGCATTCGGAAGTTGCTCCATCGCTGGTCCTGGGCATTGGGTCTGGCTGCCCAGGTCGTGTGGATCCAGTGGATACTACGCTGATGTGCCACGGATGCTGGCTGCTTGTTGTGTGCTGAGCGCCGTTCGGTTGTGCATTGAGTCATATCAGGGATCCACATCAATGCCTCCTTTGTTTGGGGTCTTTTCAATTGAGCCACCAAAAATACAAACCCCCACCAAAAGCAACTAAACTCCCACTGAAAACAACTAAACTCCCACTGAAAACAACTAAACTCCCACTGAAAACAACTAAACTCCCACTAAAAACAACTAAACTCCCACTAAAAACAACTAAACTCCCACTAAAAACAACTAAACTCCCACTAAAAACAACTAAACTCCCACTGCACTGTAAACGACAAATGCAAGCAGGAGCAGATCACTGAGCCATCATGCTAGCACATTTTTCGCACACGATCTGCTCTGCCTTCGGCACTTGCAAACTTGCAACTAAAGCTCCAGGCGTGAAGTACGGTTTAGGGTTTAGGGTTTTTAGGGGTTTAGAGGGCCGAGGATAGGGGATTTCACAACGGTTTCACGACTTGGAGTTTTGGGTTTTTCGTGTTTCGGGGCCCCTGGTTCGCAAATGAATTTCCGGAGAGGAAAAACCCACCGGGACTCAAAGAGTCAGATCAAGGCATTCAAACCCTGCAGCACACTCTCATGGATCGCGAAGGCTAGCTTCTTCTCGAGCACTTCCTGGGATTTCTGGTCTGGCCTTTCGGGTGTTGTTGATGAAAGGGTTTAGGGGTTTAGGGTTCAAGGTTTCTGGTGTCTGGCTTGGCGCTCGGGAGTTGGGCTCGTCATTCACGAAATCTCGGACATACCATAGACCCAAATCAATGAAGCCTACAATGATGGCTCCTGACCCACGACACGGGGCGAGGTTGACGGTGTTCGCCGCCCGCCAGGAACTTCTTTTGGTCATCCAGCCTCCGAAGCATCACAGAGGGTAGCTCATGAGGGTTTAGGGTATAGGGTTTAGAGTGTCTGGCTTGCTTTCGGAAGAAGTTCAACACGATCACACTGCCTGCATCTAAACTCCTAAACCCTAACACCCGAAACTCCGGAAAGCCAGGCACCAGAAACCTTGAACCCTAAATCCCTAAACCTCAACCCACAAAATCCGGGAAGTGGCTCCTGACCCACGACACGGGGCGAGGTTGACGGTGTTCGCCGCCAGGAACTTCTTTTGGTCATCCAGCCTCCGAAGCATCACAGAGGGTAGCTCATGAGGGTCACCAGAAACCTTGAACCCTAAACCCCTAAACCCTCAAACCTTAACCCATAAAATCCGGAAAGCCTGACACCAGAAGCCTTCGACCCTAGAATCCTAAACCCTAACACCCAAAAATCTGGAAAGCCAGACACCAGACACATTCAACCCTGAACCCCTAAACCCTCAAACCTTAACCCACAAAATCCGGAAATCCAGGCACCAGAAACCTTCAACCCTAAACTCCTAAACCCCGACACCCAAAAATCCGGAAAGCCAGGCACCAGAATCAGAAACCTTCAACCCTAAACCCCTAAACCCTCAAACCTTAACCCACAACATCCGGAAAGCCTGACACCAGAAACCTTCAACCCTAGAATCCTAAACCCTAACATCCAAAAATCGGGAAAGCCAGACACCAGACACCTTCAACCCTGAACCCCTAAACCCTCAAACCTTAACCCACAAAATCCGGAAATCCAGGCACCAGAAACCTTCAACCCTAAACTCCTAAACCCCGACACCCAAAAATCCGGAAAGCCAGGCACCAGAATCAGAAACCTTCAACCCTAAACCCCTAAACCCTCAAACCTTAACCCACAACATCCGGAAAGCCTGACACCAGAAACCTTCAACCCTAAACTCCTAAACCCTAACACCCAAAAATTCTGAAAGCCAGACACCAGAAACCTTGAACCCTAAACCCCTAAACCTTAACCCACAAAATCCGGGAAGTGGCTGACCGGGCGAGGTTGACGGTGTTCGCCGCCAGGAACTTGTTTTGGTCATCCAGCCTCCGAAGCATCACAGAGGGTAGCTCATGAGGGTTTAGGGTTTAGAGTAAAGCCATGTTTAAAGGGTTCTTGGGCGAAACACGCTCAGCTTCAAACCCCTAAACCTCGAAACCTCAACCCTAAATCCCATGCCCGTAAACTAACCTAACATCTAAAAACCCCCCGCCTCTGGATGTGCTGCTGCTCAATCTATGGTTGCACCTTAATTGCGGCAGGATGCATGGCACCGGCAACGACCATGGAAGTCGCATAACTAACTGATGACATGCACACGGACAGGCTTCCCCGAAATGAGTTCATTTTGTCGGCTGCTCTTTCAGGCGGCTCTGGTTTTGGGCGGAGGCATCTTCTCAACGACAGACCTCAAAGCATCCAGCACATCTGGAGGTATGCGGCCCGGTTCCTGCTCCTCTGCACCAGCCGGCAAGGCAAACTTACCACCGTGATGCTTTAGCAGCTGCCACTTGGTCCAGTTGAACTCATGGACTTGGCTCAGTGCTTCCTCCCAGGTTCGGATGGTACGAAAAGATCGATCCATGGTTCTTTGGACAAATTGCGTACCCTCCAAGACAGCTGCTTTGTCAGCCGCCACCTCGTACTTGCTGGTGAAGCGGTGATCGCCATATGACAACCCCAGCCAAGCCCCAGGAGGTGTTATCTTCATCAAGATATCTTCAGGCGACCGGTTCACCCTGACCACTGGAGCTCGCTCTCCGTCTCCTGCAGCAGCTGCAGGTCTCGAGGAGGAACTTGGCTCGGCCGGCTCGGGGACAGCAGGTTCAGGATCAACGGGCTGAGCCGGCACAGCTTCCTCGCAATCCACACCGCCGCCAGGTGGCTCAGAAGCAGGCGGAGCTGCTGCCGGCTCGCTTGCAAGCCTCCGTCGTTTGAAGGTGCGAGAAGCAAAGGATGAATCGTCCAGGCGGCCCCGTTTCTTCGTCGTCGTTTTCTCATCCTTCTTTCTGTTGCCCTTTCCCTTGCCCTTTCCCCTGCCCTTTCCTCTGCCCTTGGCTTTGCCTCGAGTCGGAATAGGTTGATCGTGCTGCTTCGCATCCATCTTCATCAACAGCTTGGCTTTCTTTTTCCGCGCTTTCATCTCTTGCAAGTCCTGTTTGTTGGCGTCGTCCTGGTCAAGTTCGCTGATGACTTCAGAGAGCTCCGAGTCCCAATCGTTATCATGCTCTTCAACGTTGGGCTTTGCAGCCGCCTTGGCTGCTTCAAGTTCATCCTCTGGAAAACTCAAGCCCCAGACATGCTCTTCCACCGTTTTCCTGCTTGCATTGCCTTTCACATGTCCACCGAGAAGCTTGACAAGATCTCTCATTTGCACCACTGTCAAGGGAAGACCAGCCAAACAAACCGCACATTGCAAAGACATAGATTCCCCTGATTTCTTCCAGCCAATGGGCCCCAAGGTTTGGTTCAACAACACTGGCTCGGTCGGAACAAATGCCCAGTCGTCCAGGTCCACGATGTGCCGCCATTTGAGACATCTCCGGTCCGGTCTCAAACAATAGCCTTGGCCGAGAATCTGCACGTGCTTCGGGAGGGTTCAAAGATTTAGAATTTAGAATTATGGTGAATCTTATTCAGCAATTAAAAATCACAGAAAACGATTAGTGAATTCTGAATGGCAACTCGTAAACTTTTTCATCCAGGCCTAAAGCCTAAAATTTAAAGCCCTTACACCCGAAAGCCTCAGGCGGTTTTCAACTTCTAAACTCTAATCTTGAACTCCTCAAGCCTGCTGCCCACCCCTAAACCCTGAACCCTTAAATCACTGCACTGCAAACCAGAACTGCGGTCCGGAAGCAGGTGTCTCCATCAGGAAGCTTCTGCACTGAAAACTCCCATGCGAGGAAGGCATATTCCGTTGCAGCCACCACCTTGACCAAGGAAGAGGTGGATTGTTGAGCGAGACAACTGCCAGGTAGTGCCAGCACTGACAGCCAAGCGGAGTTGACATTCACAGTCTCCGGCCAGGACCCTGCATCTTTCTGCGGCCAATAATGCATGAGCCAGGCCGTGGCAGCAGCAGAGTCAAACAGTGCAGCAGGCGTAGGAGATGGCCATTCATCTTTTTTCTTTCGGGGGACCATGAGCTCCTGCATGCTCTTGGGCAGCTTGTGCGTGGATGCTTTCATAAGTCCGGTCACAGAAGAAACATGTCCGGCCTTACCTGGGGCAGGAGCTGTCACCTTGTCAGCCATACTTGTTTTGACGACTGTCATGCCTCGCTTCTCCAGCACATCTGATGTCAAAATCTTAGACATGATGCCGGTGTTGCTGAAGGACACATTCTTGTTCGACCTAAAAAGATCTTTGGCCGTTTGATGAGCCTGTTCCACGAGGCGTGAATCCCCCAAGTGTTTCGACAGAACCATCAGCAAACCAGCGGCCTGTCCGGGCCCTGACCTGGACTTCGAACGGTCGTCGTCTTCAAAAGCCATCAGCAGTATCCTCATCAATGCACTGTGTCGCCAGTGCATGACGGCCAAAGGCCCGACCACGGCACCTTGCGACTCAGCTGCTTCAGCATCCAGCAGGCATCGCCAATGTTCCAAAGCAAGCTTTCGGGCCTCGGTCGCAGTGCCCTCTTCAGCTGCCAGAGCATGGCTGTAGCAAAGCGGTGGCAAAGTGTGAAATGTAATCAGTGAGCTGGCCCTTGCTTCGAAGAGTTTCTCGAAAAGGTCGACCTGGCAGGGTTGTATAATAACACCTTATAAAAATCCTTATCCCTGAGTGTGGATATCGTTTTATTTTCTTCTTATCAATCTACCACGAAAAATGCGTTACCGTTTCGCTATGTGTTGTTATCGTTTTATCTTATTCTTATCGTTTTCCACAGAAAAACCATCAAAACTAAAACCGAACACGGACATGTCATGACTACACTTAACAGCAGCACGTGGTTATTACACAGTCCCACCTGGATATGCAAGGCTTTCTCATGCCCCTGAAAGCGTGGCAGCACATGTTGCAGCATGCTGGCATCCCACAAAGACGACTCCAGCATCTCCTCGAGTTCCAATGCCCAGAATCTCGAGCTTGCACAGGCCACGTTGTGCGATAGCACTTGCATGGGGCTCTTGATGGCACGAGCCCGCTCGGCATGGAACTTCCACGAGGCTTTGCCAACTGAAAGAATACAATCTTTGATGCAAAGGTTCAGTTCGGTGATGGCTTGTCCAGCGAGCCTCCACGACCCTTTCTTTTTCTTCAGTTCCTGCAGCTCTTTCGCCTGCCGGGCAACCCCACAGCATCCGAAAATGCAGAGGGCATTTAACTTAAGTTAAGGTAGAAGCCAGAAAGTTGGAATATCATTATCGTAACCCCATCTAAGGTAAATTATAGGGGATCCTACCATTAATCCATATTCCAAGTTTCTGGAGTTCTCTTTAAGTAGCCCGATTGCCTCCAACACTATTCTTGTTTAGCCCCCAGGCACACGGAAATCCGACCAAAAGAAAAAAGCTGCTGAACATGATTGCCCCAGTGGCGGGGTCCTTGGCATTCGGCATGGTCTCGTCGCCGGACTCCTCGGACTCGGCATGACCAGCCATGCTCTCTTGGAGCACCATCTTTGTAGCCCAGAACTGACCAGATAAGAAAGTCATGCTTTCAAAAAAGGAGAACCATCGAAGCAGCTTCACCAATGGTCCCTTGGTTTGGAACGATGGCATGTCGCGGAGCGATGTGAACATAGCTTCGTTGGCATCTTTTGTTCTCGGCTCCTGAACTCGCTGCTCTCTGCTGATGAGTCCCACGTATCGTTGCCAACTGTCACAGTCAGATGTTCTGGTGGCGAGGAACTCCTCCAGTTTCGCTTTTTTGCGGAAAAAGAATTGGCTGCTACTGTAGGGTCCGTACGGTAAGTTCGCTACCACCGTCAGCACGAGCACTGTTCTCCAACCCTTGTACACAGAACGTTTCAGCGATGCCTTGATGTCATTCCACGCCCTGTGGAACGTATCAAACTGGCTATCGATGCAGACAGGGCTGCCATACTGCAGGAAATTTAGCGCCGAAACATTAACTGGTCCCTGGTCCGATACAGAAAGCAGTATCGGCACTCGGTCAAGCTGATTTCGAAGAGATGCCGGGATTTGCGGCACTGTGGTGCCTGCCGATTCGTCGTGCACCCACCATCTTCCGTCAGGCCCCTGCAAACGGAACTCATTCGCCGCCAACGGTCTTGCAATCAGACCATCTGGAATTAGGAAATCCAACAAACTCAAACCGAGGGTTCGCAAAGAAGCGGACAGTCCCCTGAGCTCGTTGTATCCAGCGACCCGCTTCAACTTCGCTTGCTTAGCGAGAGGCAACAAAGTCTCGTCGATATCTCCCAGCATGACAGGTCGCAGCTCTTGGTTTAGCAGCCAAGCCGCTTTGTCCAGCCGCCTGCTATAGACGGCACCCACCAGAACTTCTTTTCCTCCGTAGGACGACGGGTCCCAAGCAATACACAATTGCCGCTCCTGCGAAAAAACATGCTTCACTGAGTTGTAATGCAAAAGACAGTCCAAAAAAGCTTCGTACTGCATGAAGCGAACCGTGGACAAACTCAGGTCTTCGTGGGTTCTAGCAACTTGCCGTCGTCTCATCTTCTCCCTGCGAAGCCTGTACATGAGTATCATTCTATTGACTGGATCAGACTGCTTTCTGGCGACATCATTCTTCGTTTTCATAACGGGCAACACGTCCAGTTCTTGCTTGGCTAATTGCTTTGCGAACAACATCAGCCGGCCACCCAAAACAGAGAGGACTCGGGGCAAAGTGCATAGTGCCATGCAGCTGAAGAGATTCTGGCCTCTCTTCTGCGATTTCGGGTGGCAGAACAACCATGCCAAGTAGAAAAGGAAATCCTCCAACGTGGCTGCCTCAGCTGGGCTAGTGATGCAGCGGCCCATCCAAGTGCATCGGGATAGTTTTGACCAGATGTCCGATCCACCTGGACAGGAAGCCAGCAGAGAGGACCAGGCCCCTGCACACACCAGCCTGTGCCCCTCGAAGGACAGTTGCGACTGTTTCAGCGAACCCTGTCTATCCACAAGCATAGCCATGAACACAGTCTCCTCATCTGCAGCTGCTGCAATGCACAAACAAGCCATCCCCAGGAACAGCTTCAAAGCAAGCCGTTTGCATTCATTTGCTAGACTCTTGTTTCTCAGCAACCAAAGCAAAATGGCAAAGAAGCCTCTGCAACCCACACTGTGGCCCTTCCAGGATTCTGAAGATGATGCAGCCGATTGCTCCTGCCGGCCTCGGTAGGTCAGCTCCGAATCTGGAAGCTGCATCTGTGCGAAGTCGGCCAGGATGGACTTCTTGTTTGCTCCAAGAATCGCACCAGGAGACTTCACAATCTTACAGAAATCATGGATTCGGGACCACTGCCAGTCGACTTGAGTCTCGTCTTCTTTGGAGATGTAAGCCTAGCTTTGCTCAGAGGTGAGGGTGAGGGGTTCACGAATAACAGTGAATAATAACAGCTTAACACTTAGTAGTCACAACTCAGACTCACAACTTGAAATATTTTGTTCGGGATGCTCGTTGCAGGTACTCCTTGACAGTAGCCACGTGCACCGGCAGCTCGAAGTCGGCCCAAACCTGATAATAACAAGTGGCAAGGGTGTAAGGCGGTTTAGCTGAGTTCCGGGGTTGGGATTTACATTTAGGGTTTTAGGATTCAAGGTTAAGGGTTTGACTGCATATTATTATTGATCGCAATCAACTGGAACTTAGAAGTCTCACGATTGAGGGTTCGGAATTGTGCTTTTGGGGCTGCAGGGTTTTGCGTTATTAAGGCTCTTGCTTAGGGAGTCTTAGGGTTGCGGCGAGGTGGCATCTTTGGCAGGAGCATCATCAGCAGCCAGCGGCTGCTCTGCCATGAGTGGGTGAGACCAGGCACTTCAAGGTAAGGTTTCCGAAAGCTGTCACTTTAGGCACTTAGACTGAGGCCTGAAACACTAGGTGTTGGTGTAAACTCCAGACCGCTTCCAGCAGCAACATACCGTGTGGTCAGTCACTAAGCAGCTGTCTAGCTGCGAGTTTCACAAGCTTAGGGTTTAGGGCTTTAGGGCTTTAGGGTTTAGGGTTGGGTCAGCTTGAAGCACCACGTCATTCAAGCAGCTTTCTAGCTGCGAGATTCACAAGTTTAGGGTTTAGGGCTTTAGGTTTTAGGGTTGGGTCAGCTTGAGGAACCAAGTCATTCAAGCAGCTTTCTAGCTGTGAGTTTCACAAGTTCAGGGGTTTAGGGTTTTCAGGTTTTTTAGGGTTCAGGCTTTAGTAGGGTTTTGAACCAAACCTCCCCCAACCCTGCCTTCTTAAACCTTGAGCCCAATCCAAGCTCCAAGCCCAGGCGTTACGATAAAGCACACCAGGAGTACTTCACACCCTGCTGTCGAGCGGGAGGTTTTGGGTGTCAGGGATTCCGGACTTAGTCGGGGTTTGAGGTCGGGGTTTGAAGGCCCGAGTCAGGATCCATGAAACTGCTTCAAGCCCTGAGACCCTACTGTTAGTTAGACTTAAAAGAACAAATCATAGTAATAGAGAACCCCCCTGAATCCTGAAACTTGAGCCCCGATGCCTTGGATGATAGGTCACAACCCCAGCCCAGCGGTTGAACAGCAAGAAACCAGGCCGAGGTTTCTAACGGGTTCCTGAATGAAGCCGAATCTAGGGGCTTAATTAATTCGGGTTCATAGGTTTCAGCTCCTAAGCTTGGAGCCTCAATCTGTTGCTGTTAGGGTTTAGCCTTTGAAGTTTCCGGGTTTAGGTTGCAGGGTCTCGGGTTGTGGGGTTCAGGGTCTTAGGGTTGCCTCGGTTTGGGGGCTCAGGGCGTCGAAGCATCTGAGACCCTAATGCTACTCATTGGTAAGACAACCCCCCGAATCCTGAAACTGGAACCCCGATGCCTTCGATAGGTCACAACCCCAGCCCAGCAGTTGAACAGCAAGAAACCAGGCCAAGGTTTGTAACTGGTTCCTGAATGAAGCCGAATCTAGGGACTTAATTCGGGTTCATAGGTTTCAGCTCCTAAGCTTCGAGCCTCAGTCTGTTGCTGTTGGGGTTTAGCCTTTGAAGTTTCCGGGTTTAGGTTGCAGGGTCTCGGGTTGTGGGGTTCAGGGTCTTAGGGTTGCCTCGGTTTGGGGGCTCAGGGCGTCGAAGCATCTGAGACCCTAATGCTACTCATTGGTAAGACAACCCCCCGAATCCTGAAACTGGAACCCCGATGCCTTCGATAGGTCACAACCCCAGCCCAGCAGTTGAACAGCAAGAAACCAGGCCAAGGTTTGTAACTGGTTCCTGAATGAAGCCGAATCTAGGGGCTTAATTCGGGTTCATAGGTTTCAGCTCCTAAGCTTCGAGCCTCAGTCTGTTGCTGTTGGGGTTTAGCCTTTGATTTGCAGCTTCCAAATTTAGGTTGTAGGGTCTCGGGTTGTGGAGTTATTAAGGGTCTTAGGGTTGCGGCTCAGGGCGTTGAAGCATGAGTAACATAAGCTCGGGATCAGGCTTCGGGGTTTGAGTTGAGGCCAAAGCCAACACTAAACAGTTCAAAAGTTAAACTTTGAGCCCTTAGCAGCCTTAGCATTGACACGGAGCACTCAACCTGCAGATTGAAGCGAACTGAATAAGATGCTTACTTGGGGATGTGGTCCTTTCTTCGCACTCACAGCACACACGGAGAACCCCCAATTGCAGCACGAATCGCCGAACCTGATATTGCACTCTGGATGCTGCTGCAAACTCGAGGATTCAAGGCTTTCGATGTGCTCGACTAGGGTCGATGGGGTTCTATTATAGGGTTTAAGGTTCAGGGTTTAGTTTCGTTAAATATATTATAGCACCCTTCAGCTGAATGTTTCAAGAGCATGCCAGTCCGAACCAGCTCGACACATTGCAGCCTAAGGTGCTCGGAGCATCTTGTCGTCCATGCTGCATCCGGGCATCGGCGTCCTGTCGAATCAACAATTGAGACAGAGTGTTCATGGTTCAGTCAGTGACTCAAGTGACTCAGTGTGTGCAGGTTTTTTTCCTCCGTTACGGCGACGAAGGCATCGGCGGGTCGGAGTCGGGCATTGGAGGTGCTGTTGTCATCCCTTTGGGCTTCGGCACTGGAGGTCCTGCTGTCCCTTTCGGCCAGGGCTTGGGCTTTGGCTTTGGCAATGGCGTGGCAATGGTTTGACCATGGTGGCGTGGAGCCTAGAGCGGTGCTAGTGTATCCTAGGTGCAAAGCTGACCCCTAGACCTCCCAAACCGCTTAAGCCCGAAACCCTAAACCCTTCAACCCCTAAACCCTAAGCCGTACACCCTGAAGACTAAACACCTCGACCCCAAGCCCCTCGAAACCCTGAACCCTGAAGCCCTGCCCTGAACAAAACAAGCTTTGCAATGACAGTCGTAGCACGGACCGACGACAAAAGCCCCAAACCCTAAAACCCTCTGAAACCCAATCCAACATACCACTGGTTTAACCTGGCGGCAGCTGGCCCTTACCCCTAGTGACCCAACAATTCATCCTTAAATCAGACACATAACCTCCCGGTGGGGCCTTCAGAGCAAGGCTGGCTTCACGGCCTTAGATCATTCTGAACCCCGGACCCGAAACTTTTAAAGCCTACACCAACGGCAAAGCATTCGGTCCTCTGTCCAGGGCCAGCAGCAGCAACAGGATAACTCGTGCATACCTCAACATACTGTTGTATCGTCGGGTCCAGGGCTTCAAGTTTCGGCTGTACAGTTAAAGCATCCCAGGGCTTGGGGCTTGCATGATAATCAGGATTCCGAATCTTAAACCCGACAGCCCTTAAACTCTACAGTATTTCGCACAGGCTATGAAAGGAGCCGAGACCCTTAAAGTCAAGCAGCTTGATCAAGCACGTGTCCCACAAGTCACTTAACTCCCACCAAATTCCCATTGTTGTCCCCTTTCCCGCCTCATCCCACTGAATTCCCACTACATTACACTCCCATTACACTCCCACTACACTCCCACTAAACTCCCACTAAATTCCCACTAAATTCCCACTTTCCGGCTTCGTCCCACTGCATTCCAGCTAAACTCCCACCAAACTCCCACTAGACTCCCACCAAACTCCCACCAAACTCCCACTAAATTCCCACTTTCCGGCTTCGTCCCACTGAATTCCCACTAAACTCCCACCAAACTCCCACTAAACTCCCACTAAACTCCCACTGAATTCCCACTAAATTCCCACTTTTCGGGAATGCCTGTGGCCATCTACAACTGACATGTCTGGGGAACGGAATGCTGCCCATTTTTTTGCGAGACTCTTAAAGGGAAGAGTTTTAGAGATGTCAGTGTCGCGAGTTCTTGACTAGCAGTAAGCCTTAAGACAAGGACTCAGGACCTTGCCCCTAGCTTATTCTGCCTTACAGCACAAAGGTATGATTTGACCCCAAGCTGAGTTACCATCCAGCCGATGCTGTAAAACATCCCCAGATCCCTGAACCCACATGACCACAAACACGAGCTGTTTATTACTAGTCCTAGTACTAGTACTAGTACGGGCCCCGATTCTGCAAGCGATGCACCCAAAGCCCTGTGGTTGCCCCGTGGCCCATACCCTATCACTTACGGTTAGTAGAGAATGGAAGAATGGTAGTAATAGTAGCTATAATTGTATCCCATTCCTCCATTCCCTACTAAACAAAGGTAAGATCAGAACCCTAAACCCTAAACCTAAACCCTAAAACCGTTCCACGGCACCTCGGCTCTCTGCTGAAGCCTTCGCATCCTCGCCAGGTAGAGCTCCCGTTGGTACCTGGGCTGTCAGGAGATTTCTTTACTTTGTGGTAGCGGTCGTCGTTGTTGTGCTCGTTGTCGTAGTAGTCGTGGTGGTGGTGGTGGTGGTGGTGGTGGTGGTGGTGGTGGTGGTGGTGGTGGTGGTGGTGGTGGTGGTGGTGGTGGTGGTGGGTGGTGGTTTTGGTTTTGGTGGTGGTGGTGGTGGTGGTGGTGGTGGTGGTGGTTTTGGTGGTGGTGGTTTTGGTGGTGGTGGTGGTGGTGGTTTTGGTGGTGGTTTTGGTGGTGGTTTTGGTGGTGGTTTTGGTGGTGGTTTTGGTGGTGGTTTTGGTGGTGGTTTTGGTGGTGGTTTTGGTGGTGGTTTTGGTGGTTTTGGTGGTTTTGGTGGTGGTGGTGGTGGTGGTGGTGGTGGTGGTGGTGGTGGTGGTGGTGGTGGTGGTGGTGGTGGTGGTGGTGGTTTGGTGGTGGTGGTGGTGGTTACCTGAGATTTAGGGTTTAGGGTTTAGGGTTGAAGGTTTAGGTCTTAGGGTTTGG